TAACAAAATATATACAAATTAATATCTAAATAGGGACATAGTAGTATACTTCAAGTATGATGTAAAGTTCACTTTAAAAAAAACTTACGAGTATACTTGCAGTATAAAACTACTAAACTAGTAGTTTACTGAGACTATACTTCAAAGTGTACTAAAAATTTATTTAATTTTAATTTTATTAATTTTAAAAGTATTTAATTAGTAAACTATCAGTATACCTATAAGTTCACTTTTATTAGTTGCAGTACAAACTAAACATTTTGATGTAAACTTGTTGTGTACTCAAAGTTTACTACTGTTATACTTAAAGTATACTTAAAAGTATACTTTTATATACTAGAAAGTGGGCCAATTTAGTTCCAAGGAGTATTGAAATAGTACACTTACAAGTATACTACTAGTACACTGATATGTGTATACTTACTACATAAAGTATACTAAAAAATATACTTTACTTAAGTATACTTACTAAAATAAACTTGAAGTATACTACTTTTTGGTAAGGGTAGATAACAAACCACATACTGTGACAGCAGCAAATGAGGGAAGAAAATAAGGAATTGAGGTGTTTCATGCTTATGAATTATTCATTCTTATGCAGTCACTAAAGGAACTAAGAATTGTCTTTGAACGCCCGTTTCCACATAACTAATTTCAGTCATTAACTTTTTCACATGAAAACGAGGCTGTGAAGGACAGACTTACAGTCTTTACAATGGCAAGCACTGTATAATGGTAATTTCACAACTCATAACTTAAAACACTGTTCTATGGTGTTTTTGTCTACTGAAGGTTTTTGAACAATGATGTTGTTAAACAACAGTACAATCCATTGAACGCACTGTACTTCTATCCCTCACAGCCTCGTTTCATTCGGGTCAAAAATAAAATACTCGACCTTGCGACACAAGACAAAGTTATTGCCTACCTCAGATCTTGAAAATAACTTAAAGGAAACATGAACTTTCAAACTGTGAACTCTGTATGCACAAACAAGTGCTTTCCATGACAAAGACTGTGTTAGTCGCTGAATATGTATTTTGAACATTGATAAAATTGTTTATTTTATATAGGCCTACTTACCGATTTCTATTCGATTGTGAGACAATAGTGTTCTTTCTGAGAGAAGATAGAGCCCGCCCACACGCTTTTCTGATTGGCTGTACTTTATGATTTATTTAGTCTAGTTTCGAAGGTTATGTTTGTTTGTTTTTTGAAAGAAATTAATACTTTTATTCAGTAAGCAATAAAACAGTTATTCAGTAAATACTTTTACACTTTGACATTGGTAATAATAATACATTTTTCTTAAGCATCAAATCAGCATATTGGAATGATTTCTGAAGGATCATGTGACACTGAAGACTGGAGTAATGATGCTGAAAACTCAGCTTTGTCATCACTGGAATGATTTACAAATGAAAATACAAATCAGTAAAGTGGAATAACATTTAACAATATTACTGTTTTTACTGTATTTTTCAAATAAATAAACTCATCGTTGGTGAGCATGAGAGACTTCTTTCAAAAACATTTTAAAAATCTTTCTGTCCCCAAATTTTTTAGAGTATGTTCTGGTGTAAAAATCATTAATTAGATGTTCATTAAGCAGCTTTATGAAATGCAGAGGTGGGACAATTTTCACACAAAAAAAAACACACTACTAGCAGAAAGTGGGACGCAGTACTGCAGAGAACAACGCTGTCCTAGTAAAAAAACAATGAAGGCCTTTGCCAAACAGGGTCACGCTCACAGACAGGAATTGATGAACACTCGGGTGCTCCAAAATGTAACAGTTCATGCACTTCCTTTGTGACCTAGATTTACCAAAAACTGAACAGTGGAAGACTGACAAAGATAGAATCAATTGCTGAACTGTAATGTTAATACTTTACGGTATATAATTATTTGCCATAAAATTGCCTTTAGTACTTAGATTAAATCATGGTTTTATGCAATATGGAAGAAATGTAATTATTATTATTATTATTATTATTATTATTATTATTATTACCACCATGAAAATAGCATTTAATACTGACTGACAGACAGACAGACAGATAGATAGATAGATAGATAGATAGATAGATAGATAGATAGATAGATAGATAGATAGATAGATAGATAGATAGATAGATAGATAGATAGAATCAATTGCTGAACTGTAATTCGGACACTAAGTTAATACTTTGTGCGATATTTGACAAATACGGTAAAAAATAGGCCTTAAAACACGTTAAAACTCAAATGGTCACTGAAGAATCGCTCTCACGGTACTTTGATGTCAAACACCGATCGATCTGCGTAAAAGTACTTTAAAAAAAGTCGCACACACCTAACTATGTGCGCGTATTTACATCGCTTCGACTGCCCATGCACCTTCTCACGCACCACGATTGGTCGATTATGTACGATGCCTGCATGCAAGGGTGTAACTTTGGTTTGAGAAGTGGGGGGGACACAAAATGGGGGAAAATGTTTTCCAGTTGAATCCCATTTCCTGCATGTACATACATTTAGGGATTATGGTGATACAAAATCCAGGAAATAATTAAGTTGATTAATGATCAATTCTGCCAAAACGAATAGTAGGCTACTAAATTATGTATAAGAAAAAGATGTCTTACTTTCTTTATTGTTTAATAGGTGGCCGATCGCCAAGACTTGAGAGAATCATTTTATAAAGTCGAAAATGTTCACCATTAATGTTTTGAATAATGTTTAAATAATGTGAGACTCAATTTCCACTGTTACACTTTTATTTCAAACTAACCGCTGTACCTGAAAATATAAAATAAATCACTTGTTGCACAGGACAGAATGTTCTACATCAGTGGTTCCCAGACTTTTTAGAGTGGAGTACCCCTTGAGGCATTTCTGCTTATAGGCCTACCCCCTCTCTTCCACTTAGACTGCACCTTTTCCATTAAAGGACAATATTTGCACCTTAAATTGACTTTCCAATGCATTTTTTATCTTTATAAATAGAATATTAATGTTTTAAAAAAAAAGTTAAATAGATTAATATGCAATGATGATAAAAAAAGTGAAAAGTGATTCTTTTAATTGCTAAAACCGCCAGGTCACTGTCTTAATGCGTGAGTCATCAAGTCATTTGTTCATTCAGTAAGTTAAAGGAGTCATATGATGCGATTTCAATTTTTCCTTTCTCTTTGAAGTGTTACAAGCTCTTGGTGCATAAAGAAGATCTGTAAAGTTGCAAAGACTAAAGTCTCAAATCCAAAGAGATATTCTTTATAAAAGTTCAGAGTCAGCCACGCCTACCTAAAACGGCTCGTTCGAACACGCCCCCACATATCTACATC